AATTTATATATTTAATTATTAATTGTAAGGGTAATTAAGTTCGTATTTGATAATACCGATTGGGATACCGAAATCTTTAGGGATTAGGATTGGGATACCAAAATTATTTAGGGATTAGGATTAGGATTGATTCTAGGGTGTAATTCGGTATTCGAGATTTCGGTATTTGGTATTGAAATACCGATATCGTGCCGATTTCCACCCCTAGTTGTCATGACGCAGATTTGAACTCGCCAATTAATTGTATGTAAAAATTACAACAATAAATTACTAGAATGAAAAAAATTAGATGAAAATAATACAATTTCATGAAAGTATTATGTATGTATGTATGATAAATATAAAATATGTTGAGAAAAATAATCATCATTTTATAAATAAATAAAACACATATGCATGTGTATAATTGGACGGTTTCAGGACATATAGCGAGAAAATCATACCCATCCATCAACTGTAATATTAGGGTTCGAATTTTACCCATATGTCAATACCCATTAAAAATCCATCTAAATGAATAGTTTTTTCATGATTTCCATAATTTATAAGATAACAACATAAAAGAAAAAAACAGATAGTCATACTAAGCAACGCCTAAGAAAACGGGTTAATGACATAAATATTGTATTTTTTATAATTTAACGTTAATATGGCTGATTAAAAAGTATTTACACAGTTATTGTGTTTTGGAGAGCAAATTCGGCGAGAACGCCTCAGACTCAGGCGCTGCCGCTATTTATGTTTTTTTTATCATTTGATTAAGGTGATAGCGGCATCGGCCAAGACTGAAGTGGTACCGCCAGAGACTCAGGCGAGTTGGTGGGAATTTGTACCTAGCGATGGCGCCCAGGACTATGGCGAGTCCGCTGGCATATTGCTGGCTACCCCCTATAAAAAACCAACGAATTTCGTTTCAATTGCTCACCACAAAAAAAAAATCGACAAAGTTAGAGGAGGAGAAGCTCTGGTTGCTGAGGCAGAAATGGCTAGTAGGTAAGAGGCACATTTATTTTTTAATTATATTCTTCAAATGCTATTATGATTTTGTTTAGTTAATTAGTGAGTTTGTTTTTCTGTAGTGATTTTAGAAGATTTGAACTAGTCGTTCGGTGGAAATCGAAGAAAGTAGAGGATAATTTGGGCCTCCAATTCGTTGGTGGTAGTAGTTTTTAGTTGACCGTTCCATCCAGGGTAACATATCACAAACTTTGTGAGAATCTAATTCCGAGAATACGACGTAGAGACGAAGCAGTACAAGATAGTGATGTGATCATAGGTTTCACTTACCGTCTTCCAGAATGGCAGAATGGTCTTTTATTTCATTATGCGGTGCCTATTGTGGATGATAATAGTTTGAATGTGCTTTTCAATTTTATGGCACAAAACCCTCATTAATTGGGCGCTGAGATACATGATGATATCAGTGAGAATCGGGATAGAGAGGAAGGAGATGAGACGTGGAGCATGTCATCCGATCATGACGATGTTGACGGAGAGGAGGAGGAGGAGGAGGAGGAGGATGGTGAAGGAGATCAACCTAATTATCCTCCATATTTTTACTTGCAGGGTAATGAAGAGGACGACGAATTATCTTATGTTGATTCATATGGCGTAATTCCAATGTCTATTGTTGCTAGTTTTGAAGGAGAATTCTACAACGTGCAGATATTTCACTCGAAACAAGCTGCACAGGTGGCGATTAAATACCACTCACTAGAACGCAACTTTCAATATAGCATGGGGGAGTCGTCACCTTCAATCTGGAAGGTCAGATGCTTGAAGCACAAGGATGACAATTGTCCTTGGATGGTGCGATTTGGATGTCGAGATGTTGGAAGCGATTGGACTGTGAGAAAGGCCGAGTTGGTGCATTCTTGTAGCAGTACGACTCAACCGACGGATCATCGCCATCTTGATGTCAATATTATATATGAGTCCGTCAAACATTTGGTACGTGCCCAACCAAATCTGTGTGTTCCAACTGTGCAGGCCGAGTTGAAAGATAAATTTAATACGCAAGTTACTTAAAAGAAGGCTTGGTATGGGAAACAAAGAGCATTGGAGAAGTTGCATGGAAATTGGGAAGAATCCTACGATTATTTGCAACCATTCTTGCGGGTGGTAAAGAGAAAAATGCCAACATCAGTGATTGATTGGGTAAGAGTTCCTTCAGCTCAACCAGGTCATTCGATCTTTCAACGAGTATTCTGGGCTTATGGACCTTGTATAGATGGATTCAAGAATTGTCCAGGAGTCATGGTTGTTGATGGAACATTTCTTACTGGAAAGTATAAAAGAGTGCTACTCATGGCGAGCTCATTTGATGGCTGGAAGAAGATTTTTCCAATAGCATTTGCCATCGTGGAAAGCGAGAATACTGAAAGTTGGCCATGGTTCATAAATCACGTTCAAGGTTTGACCAATCGAAATGATGTCTGCATCATCTCAGATAGACACGCGGGACTCTATGAAGCCATGAGTGACATCAGAAGAGGTTGGGAATGGAGGTGGTGCATGCGACACTATGCAAGCAACTTGCAAAGAAAGAATGAAAGCAAAATTATGTATAAGCAACTATTTTGAGTCGGTAAGCCTTCTTCATTTAATTTTGTTATTTATTTTGATGTATTAATTTTGTCATGAATTTATCTAACTCGCGTGGTTATTTACTTTATTAGCCGAAGAAAAACGTTTGGAGAAGTTCGATCGTCAAGTTGAGCAATTTAAGAAGGTCGCCGCTTATAGGAATATTTATTGTGATAACTGGGTAGACCAACATCAAATTCGTTGGAGCTTAGCGCATGATAACTATAATGGTGGGCGTCGATGGTCTATCTTGACATCCAACATGGCAGAGAGCATCAATAGTGTTTTCAAAGGTATTCGTTCACTTCCTATAGCTTCTCTTGTGCAACATACTTATTGGCGATTGTTGGAGAAATTCGATAAGATGAGATTGGAGACATAAGCACAAATCAGAAGTGGTCGTTCACAGTACACCATCAAGTGTGAAGAGATGATAAAGTCATGGTCACAAAAGGCAGTTGGACATTCCGTGACAGAGGTTGATCGACGTCAAGGCATCTATGTAGTTCAGAATCCTCCCAACAATTTCAATATGATGGGTTCGAACACACTCACAGTGCACTTCGACGACAACAACCGGGCGTGATTTTTCACTTGTGGGAAATTTCAAGGAAATAAAATTCCTTGCTCTCATGCCATTACAACTTGCAACCGAATGGGGCTAATCCGTATAGGTTTGTAAACGATGTCTACAAGCTTGAAACAGTGTTGGCTTGTTATGGGACAAGTTTCACACCTCTTGGTGAACCTAAGGGTTGGAAGAAGCATAATGGTCATATTCTCCATCCTAATGTGCACATGATTAGGAAGCCGGGGAGACCACGAGTTACAAGAATTCACAACGAGATGGATTGGCCAAGAGAGGGTGTATCACAACAAGTGTGTAGCAACTGTAACCAAAGTGGCCATAATGCATCAACTTGTGGTGGCCAAGCAAGTGGGAGTGGGAGCCAGCGAAGAGGAAGTGATGGCCAACGACGTGCGAGAGGTGGTGGAAGAGGAAGTAGTGGTAATAGACATGGTATGTAGTTTGGTCAAATTTTTATCAAATGTAGTAGTTGTTATGGTTTGAAGTAGTTGTTGTTTTTCAAGTAGTTGTTATGGTTTGAAGTAGTTGTTATAGTTTGAAGTTGTTGTTGTTTTTCCACTTGTAGGTTGTTGTTGTTGGGACTATTATAAAATGTCCGAGTTGTTGTTGTTTGTTATTTGCTGTTCCGAATAGTTAAAGTTAATAACATAATACATGAAATTAAAAATAGGCCACATAATAGTCCACATAAATATCCCAAAGAAGCACATAATAATAACATAAGAATCATAATAGTCTCACTAACGACCACCACGATGACCACCATGCTAATCCATTAGATGGTCGCCAGTACCACACCTCGCTGGCCGCCTGTTCCGTGGAGGCCTACCATCATAATGTTGGGGCTGATCTCCCTCGACACCATCATCATGATCCTGTGTACCGAACATATCATCCTATTGAGACTGAATTTGCTCCTCTACTACACCGCCACCATACTATCGCGCCAGAAGATCCTGATCATAAGACCACATTGTTTTCTGAAAGGTCTAATCACCCTCTAGATCGTCCCACGGGTCTACATGTGAGGCTGCTCTAGTATCACTACCTGAGGCCATGTATCCGCCTTCCATCATAGCATGCTACGGTGTATGAAAGCTATCCTCTAGTGGATGAAAGCTCGAAGAAGGCACCGAGTGAAACTACGGCTGAGGAGGAGGATGAAAGGCTGAATGAGGTCCTGCCTGAAATCCTGAAGAAGTGGCGCCTGTCTGATGTTCCGAATAAGTGCCTGGATGAAATGGCGGATTAAACTAGAAGGTCTGTGTAGGCCGGACGGGTTGTGCTTGTTGTCGATCTAAAATCCAGACTGGGTTAGGTACATCACGATGCTCACGTCGTTGTCTACGTGGCCTATGCTCCTGTATGAACTGTGGCTTCGGGACGACACAGTCCAGTGTCGGATCAGTACGCTCTGGCCAGGAAGCCATGTTGGGTTGCTCATAAGAAGGCTGTACAGGTATTGTAACATCAGGATGCCTGCGCCGATCCAAACCTAAAGTAGCAACCCCTGATGCCATCATGTTGGCCAACTACTCCATCTGGTCGGTGGACATCCCTCCAGTCCGTACTCCATCACATAAACTCAGCTCTGCATGCTCCAAAGTGTCGTACTGAAATTTAAATTGAAATTTCAAAGATTTCACACAGTTAAGAAATTCAAGACAAAAACCAAAAAAAATATTAAACAATAAATAACTAATCAATGCCTCCACTATAGCTCCTCTCCGTGTGCCTGAACGTCTGGTGACATCTCAATACCACTCCATATGCTCCGAGTGGTAGGTTAAAACCTCCTCACTATATGGAGTCGTTGCTATGAACTCATGTTGACGGTTCCAAAAAGCAAGTGACTCTCTGGAGGCGTGTACCAACTGCTGCCCACATGATGGCCCACGAGTAGTCTGGCGAAGGAAAAACCTAACCTCGGCCTCAGGATGTGGCGGATGAGGCTCAGGCTGCCTCATGCCAAACTACCGGAGCACGCGGTGTGGATGGTGCCACATCACCGCTGAAAAGCATATCAGTGGCACTACTGCTCGAAACGTCTCAGACTGTATCACACTACCTCTGAGATGAAGTGCTCTCTCAACGTAAGGTTGCCACTACACACAAGAAATGGTCACGTTATTATCCCTAAATCTAAAACAAACAAATGAAAACTATTCTATAAAATGAAATGTTATATACTAACCACCATGGTTTCCATCTCGTCAAACCATAATTTGTACTGGAATAGCTGGTCACCATACTGACGAGTGTTGGACGGAAGCATCGAACACCACGTGGGGATGCATCCTCGACAATCTGCGCCCTCGTCTCCGAATGTCGCGGTGTCAGATGTGGGAATCGCTCCCACGCCTAGAGCTGCAGTAAGGGGACCCATCCACCAAGATCACCTCCTAAAGAAGTGGAGGAATGCGTAATGTGCAAAGCCGACCTACCCATCTCAAGGAACTAGTAGGATAAAATAGTTGCTCCCTAGGCAAACCGTCCAGCTCTCTGCCAATCCTCCACCAAAAGTAGGTACTGTAGGTGCACCGTAGCTCCAGACCGATCCGGAAACAATACTCCTCCCACTAGAGATAGAGCATAAGCTCGTGCAAACTGCTCTGTAACCTCCTGGGATGCATTTCCTGGCAAATGATTGAATTTATCCCTCAGCCAAACAATCCCAACGACACCGCCGGAAAGATCATCAGGAACCCGTCCTAAATGTCTCAAACAGATCTTCGGCCACTCCTCATCTGGTATGTCAACTACGACGGCATCACCTTCGATAGCCATACAGGACAGTGTCAAAACGTCCTCTAACGTGATCGTGACCTAGTAAATAGTCTAATCTAACTAGCTAATTAACTTTACAGAAATAGTTATCAAATACTTACCTCGTTTGCCCAAACTGAGTCGATACGATGTTGACCATGTCCCCAAGAAGTACCCAATCGACAGGAGCTGGATCAATTGTCGCAGGCGGTAGTCTCATGGAATAACTGTCCATAAGTGACTCGCTTCTACCGTCACTCTAGAAAATGGCCAAGTGTAACCACCTCCTAAAGCGTAGTATAGCGGGTTTGGGTTTTAATGTCAACCCGGGTCCTAAGTGTGATGACTACTCCGTGAGTTCTTATTATTTAGCAGTGAAAGTGTAGTGAAGGTCCAAACAAGCAAACAAGCAAAGCAGTTAAAGGTTGTTTTCAAGTTGAGAGAGGTCACTCGGATATGGTTCCCCCTAGACTGCAGTTAAGCTAGATTGTAATTTACCAAATTCAATTTCACTGATAGTTATACTGCGGGAGGTTCTTAAATAGTCTGCAGTCTCGGCTAAAGGTCTCCAGACCCTCTCAATCTAAGTCCCCAGCGGGTGACTAACCTCCACCGGAGTAAACAGATCGAGGCCCTAACGAACCAAACCTCCACTACCGAAGTAAATCCGGTACAGGATAGAGAATCGACTCCTCAACTAAAGTTGTCAATTCCCTACCTTCAATCAAGGGTGCTCTATCAACCTAGGCAGATATTCTCTTTTCTAGGTCAAAGCGGAAATAACAGGAATTTGATCAGGATTCATGCCATTCAACAAATCAGACCTCAATTGAATATAATAATATCACTGAATTCGTACTTGGGTTCATACAATCAGACATAACATACAAATCTAGGGTTCTTCATACCCAGGTGAATAAGAAAGTTACTCCATAGAGAGAGAAGGAAAATCTAGCTCAGATGCGGAAACCATACTGTGAAGGATGAGATTCTGCTTCTGGCAATCAATCAGCACTTCTCCAAGCTCAAGCCGAGCTCCAATGGTGATGAAGATCGATCTAAGATGCTTGAAGAATCAGGTTCGTCACTTTCTCTCTCTAGGTATACGCTTTTTCTCTCAAAAACTCGGGTCCCTCAACTTTGCCCTTCTTTTCCCTTAAGAAGCTGTAAATCGCGATCCCCGGTCAGAATACCCGGTCGCGTATTTTAGGTGGCGACCGGGGATTGTTAAAACACATCGTCGGGGACAGGGGGTTAATCCCCGGTCAAGGTCAAGAATACCCGACCGGGGATTTATGCTCAGTGCCCGGGCCCCCTTCTGCTTCTCAAACGCCCAAAAGAGATTTTCCCAGGTCTGCGCAGATTAATACCCGGCCGGGTATTTTTTCTCATGGCCGGGTATTTTCCTCCTCCAACACACTTCAACTCAAACGTGCTCCTTTTCACCCGAAACTCGTTTCTTCGCCTCGATGCCAACGCCAAGCCCTGAAATATGACATAAACACACAACCTAGCGTGAAATCGGCTTAAAACGCGAGAATCAACATCTCAAACGGCTCAAGAATAGGGGTAAAAATATGTTCAATCAATGGTCTATCAAATTCCCCCACACTTAACCGTTTGCTTGTCCCCAAGCAAACCTAACTCAAACCAATGCAACTCTCCAGACCTCTATAGCAACAAACAACCCCGATCGTCAATAGAGGATTTCCTAGATCATATAGCAGTTTACGAGGTCAACTGGTCTTCTAAGACGTCCCCTATCTCTCTCAATGCGAGTACTAGACTCAAGCCAGGATCATGAGAAGAAATGGAAGTAAGACAGTCAGTTCATGGATAAAGGGACTCACACCATTCACAACCAAGGACTCGTTGTACCAGGGTGCTCTTTCACTTCATTTCACCGTTGGAACCCCTTTTTGCACTTTCATTTTATATTTCTTTTTTTTTTCTTCATTCACTTAGCGGGGGTTCCAACTGCAGTCTTTTGCATGGTCGACCCTTATTAGTCGAGCAAGAGCAATTTCTGTACATCTGGTGCTCGCCAGAATACTTCTTTTAACTCCTATTCCTCAACTCGTGTGGAGGGTCAATGAAATTAAGGGGGGTCGGAAGCTCTATCCGTGCCCTTAAAAACACATCCTCAAGTAGACAAACCATTCAACGGGTGGAAGTTTTACTTGTACTAGAGATAGCTTAACTTCACCTTGTAGAAGTACCCCACTAAGGATCACTAAAATCTCTTCCAAAACCCGATTTTGTGCAATGAACGGTGCCACACACTTTGGGCTTACCCCATGTTTAAGATTTCAATGATTTCGACATGGAGGACCAACTGCCTTTCATTTCTCACATGAGCACCCTGTTCGATACACGAGTCTATAACACAATCCAATCAGAGTCACCATTACCACATGAATTCAACGGTCTTAGCTCCACTAATTTACATAATCAACTGGCACAGCAGAGAGCTAGATAGGAAAAATCGTATACTTCAACATCCTCCATAGTGCTACACTACCTCCTTAGGTTGCACATTACTATAGAGACTGTCAATTTAAAGCATACTGAGCAGGCAATTTTCAAGGAAACACGTACTTGGAGCCCTCAAATCGAAATTTGGACAGTGGACTAGGCTCCAACCACACAAACAGGTCTAACGCAGTCAAAAGAGAAACATCCCCCCCCCCCTCACACTTAAGTTCGACATTGCCCTCAATGGAGAAGAGGGAAGTATAAGGGAAACGATGTTACCGGTGTGCACGGACTGCATGAGACTGGAAGGGGACCAGTCTGAGTGAAGAGGACTGGAGAGGGGACCAGTCAGGGACAAATGCACAGCTAAAGGGAACAGAAGAACTCAAACACAATACGTTAGGTCCAGTTGTCAGCCCAATAGTATATCATCCAAAAGAAAAATAACGAAAATAAACCATCACACAAGACAGTTTGCACTCGAAAAGAAAAAACAGCACAAGACGGACCACGAGTACAGCCTACTCGAGCCCGGTGAAGACGATTTGATCCATGAGGTCGTCGACCCCATCTGCCGGTGGTGGTGGGGGTGGTGAGTGGTCCCACCGGGTGGTCCAGTGGTGATCCTGAGGTGGGTGACAGGACTGGAGCAGGTGCTCCTGGTACTCCATCATCCGGCGGCTGCGATCTCGCTCTTGCTCAATGTGAGCACGGGTGACTCCCATCTGAGCCTCCATCCGGTTGAGGCGCTCGTCCACAACCATCATCCGAGCCTGGTACTCGGCCTGGTGGGCCGAATACTGCTGGTAGAACTGGACCTGATGGTCCATGAGTTGCTGGTTCTAAAGCCCGAGCTGCTGGAACCAGGTGCTCCTGGTACTCCATCATCCGGCGGCTGCGATCTCGCTCTTGCTCAATGTGAGCACGGGTGACTCCCATCTGAGCCTCCATCCGGTTGAGGCGCTCGTCCACAACCATCATCCGAGCCTGGTACTCGGCCTGGTGGGCCGAATACTGCTGGTAGAACTGGACCTGATGGTCCATGAGTTGCTGGTTCTAAAGCCCGAGCTGCTGGAACTGGAGCCCCATCTGCTGGAACTGCTCCGTGAAGAAGTCCATCGACGGTCCAAAAGCCATCGACGGACCATAAGGACCGGAGGAGGACTCGCCTCTCTCGGATCTCCGTCGTGGCTGAAGGTCCCCTGGTGGGGAGAGCGGGGGCTCCGACTCATCAGCATCAATGGCCCCGTCATCATCATCATCGTCATTGGCCTCTTCTTCGCCGGAGTAGTTGGCGTCATCCTCATCCAAATCTGCATCCTCCTCAGGGGGCAAAGACAGCCCATCCACCCAGGAGCGGGTGCCATCAGTGGCCAGGAGGAGTGCATTGTGAAGCACGTCCCGACTGAGGGGGGTGTAGCCGCCCCGTGCTGAGGAATTCGTGAGTCCCTCCAAGTCAATATCGAAGTGGCGGGCCAGTTGGGTGATCAGGGGACCACAGAAAAGATGGTTGGGTTTCTCGTGGCACCGAGAGAAGGTGGTAGCCAAGAAAGAACCCAAGTGCAGCATGTGCTCCGGGTACCCCATCGAATACATGGCGTAGAGCACCCGCTTCGGGATCCTGTGCGAACCAATAGCATTAGGGACGATGGAGCGGGTGATCAGCAGATTAAGGATGTGCCACTGCGACCGAAGAGTGCGGACGAATGTCTGGTCGGCATCGAAGTAGTCCGTCCCATAGGCGCGTCTAGTTATCCGGCGGTAGAACCCGTCCTGGTTCCAGTCTGTCGGGTGCGGGATCTCTACCTCATGGTGCGAGTAGGGGTGGTACTGGATCCCCATGGCATAGGTCAGCCCATCAATGGTCAGCTCCCGTGGCCTACCACCCAGGCGGAAGGTGATTGCGAGGGAGTCTCGGGCCGCCTTTGGGCGGTAGTGGTAGGTGGTGTAGAACTCCCACACAAGCTCTGTGTAGGTGGGCTCGTCGATGGTCAGCAACGTCCGCCAATCACGGATTCACGGTGGCTGATGGCGGTGGAGATCTCGTTCAAACAATGGAGCTGCTCGAAGACTCCCCACTCCAGATGGTGGTGGCGCTGGAGTATTCCGCGGGTGACCTTGCGGAACTGGTCAGCGTAATCCGGGTGCAGGCCCAGGTCTTGCACGAACGGGTGATCTAGTGACATGATCCTGCAAAATCAACAAACCAAAGGTGGAGCCAAGAAAAATTCGTCAGGACTAACAGTATGGGTTCATCACTTCCCCCACACTTAAGGACCACCTAGGCTAACAGTTTAAGCATAAACGGTTGAATCGCAAGCAACTCAACCGCAATCAAGGCAAGAATCAAACATAACCGACCAATTCAATCACACGGGCAGAACACACGCATTAGCCATAGCCATTCATACTCACGGCATCCCTCACCCTATTCTAATTCAAGCATGCCAGGCAAAACACAGTTCTCGGTCCTAAAATCTACAGTTCGATTTTCCAGAAAAAGAATAGCTAACAAGAAACACACCTGGAAACTCAAGTAGAAATGTAGACGAGACGCGAAGAGCGGGTGAGGGACCCAAAATTATCC